GTACAAAGATAAAAAAGACCATAAGCTATGATGATATAAGGGTAGAGGGAACTCCAACAGGAGGCATCAATTAATCAACAAGCATCTATCGGAAGAGGTGAGGAGGGAGTGTATTTCAGCCATTAGGGACAGCCCAGAGATGGGAGAGGGAAGGGAAAGGAATAAGCTTTTATATAGTGTCTACTCTATGCCAGGCATTGTGCTAAGCATTTTACAAATATTATCTCACTTGATCTTCACAACAACCTGGGGAGGTAGGCGCTGTTACTTATTATTCCCACTTTTTTTTTTTTGGCAAGGCAATTGGGGTTAAGTGACTTGCCCAGGGTCACACAGCCGTAAGTGTCAAGTGTCTGGTCTGAGACTGGACTTGAACTCAGGTGCTCCTCATTCCAGGGTTGGTGCTCTATCAGCTCCGCTACCTAGCTGCCCCTATTATTCCCACTTTAGAGATGAGGAAACTGATGTAGACAGAGGTTATGTGACTTTCCCAGCGTCACACAGAATAAATTTGGGTCTAAGTTGAAAAAGCTTTAAACATCAAGCTGAGGAGTTTGACAAAACTCTTACATACAAATTTTGCATATCTGAAACTAGCAAAAATGTAAAATCATTTCAGCCTCTCTCTCTCAATCACCTTAATTCCTCCCTTTCACTCATCTCACAGGTGGAATTAGTCTCTGAATTTTATAGCTTTTATCTCTTTAATCTCTTCCCTTCGATTCACACAGTCACCACCCTCATTCGGGTTCTTCTTATTGATAACCTGGGCTATTTTATTAGCCTCCTAACTGGTAAAATACAATAAAACATAGATAACATTAACACACAGTTCTCTAAGTCAATATGCTCTCACAGGGATCCTTACATATAATGGTCCTGTTTTATTTGTGTTTAACATCCCTGATCTACATAATACTCCTAAGAATCAGTCTTTCCTCTCATCAATTTTTTAGTAAATATTTAATGAATAGTCACTATAGTTATTGTCCAGAACTTCCCCCTAAGTATTCTTTCTTTAGAAAGGGTTTGGAGTGAGAGCTGTATACCAATTACAAGACACACTGAGCAAATGCTTTATTCAGTTTACATGGAATCTTAGAACTAGAAAGTCCTTCCTCATATGTTACTTATAATAACAGAAACATAACATTTGGAAGCACCATTAAAGTAGAAGAAAATCTATGTTCAAATAAAAGTGCACTCACACCATAATCTACCCTCCACAGACTTAGAAGTCACAGGAAGGCAGATCTTGACTCAATATAAGGAAAAAGCTAACAATCAGACAGAGCCTGATGGCAGATGAGGTTGTTTCCATAAGGAATGAGTCCCCCATTGCTGGAAAAGTTAAAGCAGAAGCAAAGGGATCATTTTTCAGGGAAGTTGTAGTTGGAAGAATGGATTCAAATATTAGATGATCTCTAAGATTCTTTCCAGCTCTGAGATTTTATGTTTTCTGGGACAGAAAAAACCAGAAGCACTACAAACCCACACCATGCTTATTCCAGGGATGAAAGTTAACTGTCTATGGTGAAGTGGGTATCATCCCTACCTCACAAGATGGTTATGAGGCTCAAGAGAACAATAGTCATAGCTAACATTTATACAGTGCTTACTTACTATATGCCAGGCACTGTGCTAAGCACTGTACAATTATCATCATTATCATCACCATGTTATCTAACATTTATATATATATATATATATATATATATATATATATATATATATATATGCCAAGCACTGTGCTAAGTGCTGAACAAGCATTATCTTGTTATTAAAAAAACTAAGAATAGCTAACATTTATATAGCACTTATTATATGCCAGACACTGTGCTCAGTGCTTTACAATTATTATCTTATTAATAATAATAAAAACCTAGCTTTATATATCGCTTACTACGTGCCAGACACTGTGTTAAGCACTTTATAATTATTATCTTCTTATTAATAATAATAGCTAACATTTATATAGGACTTGCTATATGCCACGCACTGTGCTAAGTGCTTCACTATCTTCTTATTATTACTAATAATAATGGCTAACATTTATATAACACTTACTTTGTCTATGTGCCAGGCAATGTGCTAAGTGCTTTATAATTATTATCTCATTCAAGCCTCACAACAACTCTGGGAAGTAGGTATTATTATCCCCAATATATAGATTGGGAAACTGGGGCAAACAGAGGTTAAGTAACTTGCCCAGGGTCACAGCCAGTAAGAGTCTGAGGCCATTTTTGAACTCTGGTCTTCCCGGCTCCAGGCCTAGCATTCTGTCCATGGTGCCACCTAACTGCCCACTTTGCAAACTTTAAGCTACTTAAGCTTATCATATCTACTTTAAGCATATCAGCTATGACTACTGTTATTGATCATGAATGGTTTCTTCTAAGCTGACATGTACCTTTAAACTTTCCCCACCCCCTTCCCTCTTTCCTGGAATTGTACACAGGCAAAAACTACCAGAGTTGTGTGAAAGGAAGAGCAATGAACTAGGAGTCAGGTGACCTCTGCTCTAAGTCCTGGTTCTGCCACGGATTCACTGGAAAAATCACATCCCTTCTCGGGGCTTCAGTTTCCTCCTCTGCAAAGTGAAGAGGTTGGGTGAGATGACCTCTCCGTCTTTCAGTGCTGTTGTTCTACGTTCTAATTTCCTTTCCAGCTTTGTCTCGTAGAATCCATCTTTTATACAATAATAACAGCTTGCATTTATAGAGTGCTTTAGATTTACAAAAAGCTCTATCTACATTAACTCATTCAGTAAATGACACATGACAATTCTTTTAGATATTTGAAGACCGTAATCATGCCCACCCCTCACAGTCCTGTTTCTAGGCTAATACAACTTCAGTGCCTTCAAAGGATCCTTACTCAACATAGTGGTGAGTTATTTCACCATCCTGGTCGCCCAGCTCGGGTCAATGTCCCCTCCCAAAGAAGGCTGTCCAGAAGCTGACCCAACACACACCAAGACCAAGGACCAGCTGCCTACAGAAGATAAGTACCCAGAAAAGGAAGGAGCCAATTCTAGGCTCTTCCACCGGGCCCCACATCGGTAGGTCTACAGGATTCTGGTCCCAGGGAGATTAACCCCACTAGGAACAGGAATACAATGTCCTACGCTTTCTTTGGCTCCGGGGGCCTAATCGGGGTGAGGAGGAAATGGTTTTCCTTTCACAATATACAATGAGACTTTCTGGGGATGGGGGAGCTGATCCGTCCAGTTCTTGGTCTCTTTTGTTTGTGGTTTCTCTCTCAAGCCCTACTTAATGAGCCTGGTTCTAAGAGATAAACACCTGGGACAAAGCCTGGAATTCTTCCAGGTTACCCAATAACTCTCCAAAGACAGGCTGCTAGGATACAGAAAGCCTCAGGAACACCACCTGGCACAGATTACCCACCGTGGGCAGAACACTGTCTCAGGCACTTTCAGGAGGAACCAGATATAAAATCATAATGATGAGAACTAATAGTTATGTAATATTTTAATATACATTTATCTCATTTCCTCCTCAGAAACACCCTGTGAATAAGTACTGCAAATATTTTTTTTGGATGGAATTTGTGATTTCATTGAGGTGAAATTCTTTTTACTAACATGGGTCGGTGCCTGATCTACAATTTACAGTCTTGTTTAATGGCTCAGGGAAGGAAACACAGCAAGTATATGTGTTAGAGGCATCTCTTGAACCCAGGTCTTCATGACTCTAAGGATGTCTTTCTTAGCCACTTGTTCAAGGCTAACTTAAGCGCAAGTATTGTTAATGCTTTCTGATAAATGATGAAATAGAGGATCTTCAAGGTCACACACCTAAGTAAGTGTAGAAGACAGGGCTCAAACTTAGGTCTTTTGACTACCAATAGTCTGTCCCCTAAAATCCAAAGCCATCTCTGGGGACCCCAACTAACTGTATCCTTTAAATTAACTCTTGTGGTTATTTTTTTCTGGGCCTTCTATTTAAACAAGGGCATCCTTTGGTATGTTTGAGGTTACTAGAATGAGGCTTGCGAGTCAAGAGATCTGTGTTCTAGTCCACCCTCTGCCACTAAGAAACATAAATAAATGTTCATTTATCACCACTCTGAGCCTCACTTTCCTCATTTAGAAACATGAGAAAAAGCAAAGAAAATATATTTGAAAAAAAGTTAAAGCTTTATTACAGATGCATGGTATTAACAGCCCTAGTCTTTGTCTCAGAGTTGTCTCCTAATCTAGGAAATTTTACTAGACTCTAGTAATGAGGAGAAAATCGACAACCTCCTATAAGGTGGAAGAAAAGCTGTATAAGGAAGCCTCTAGGCTAATAATGGAGGAGCCCAACCTCCTCAAAAAAGAAAAAAAAATGATAAGCCAGAGATAACACAGACCTCATACCTCAGGTCTTGGTCAGGCTCCGTGCATTCCTAAATCAAATAAGGTAATATTTGCAAAGCCTTTAGCACAGTGCCTGGGTACATAGTAGCATTAATAAATGCTGGTTCTCCTCCTCCCCAACCACCTCCACCAGGCTCCTTTCATAGCCTCTGCATATTTTCTGAAGGGTTCAGGGATCCCCAGGGGGCCAAAGGGTAGGGATAACATACGGGCGCCAGGGTCTGAGAGTTCTGAACTGGAAGAAACCAGAGGGCTGCAGGCCCAAGATTTAGAGGGGCCCAAAGGCTTGGCTGGGATCTGGGGGGCTCCTCTCGAATTCTGCCCTAGGTGGTCAGGGTGTGGCAGGACTAGAGGACGTAGGAACCTCGGGAAGAAGGACCGAGCTCTTTCACATCCCCTCTTCCCGGAGCCGGCCCTTTGAATCCCGGGCTCTTGAAACCTCAGCCCCCGGGCAGGTGCGCGGTGGGGCAGGGGGCAGCGCAAGCATCGGGGAAGAAGGGGATGTTTGGGCAGCGCCAGGCGCCGGCGCCGGGCTAAGCGAAGGGCCCGGGGCCGCGACGGGTCCCTCGGGCCCAGCGGATCCTGAACAAAGAAAAGCGGCGCGGGCTGAGCGACTCACCGGCATGACGGCTGCGGGAGGCTGCAGACTGGTGACTGGAGACCGGAGGCTCCCGAGGCGGGGACTGCGGAGTCCCGGGCGCTTCCGGACGCGCGGCTACGCGGGGCCCCAAGCCCGGCCCCGGCCCCCGCCCCCGCCCGGGGCTGGGCCGCGGCCCGGCCCGGCCTTCCCTGGTGCAGGGCGCGGGGCGGGGCTGCTGCGGGAGGGGGCGGGGCTGCTGCTGGAGGGCGGGGCTGCCTCGGTGGGCGGAGCGGGCGGCGCCGGGCTTCAGGAGCTAAGGGCTGTGATGCCACAGATGGGGAAACTGAGGGAGGGAAGCGTCTGCATCCTGGACAAATACAGAGATGCCCAGAGATACGAGGGCGGGCAGAGAGACCGAGGCGAAATGGAGCAGCAGAGGCAGGCGCAGGTACCCAGAGGCGGAGACCCCCTCCTTCAGCTTCGCAGCCCCTCCCCGCCGCTGACACCGAAGATGCCTCCCCTGCACCCCCTCGTCTGTCTGCCTCCATGAAGAGAGGAGTCCCCTACTGAGCACAACGCGAGTCATACTGTAAGAGCTTAACGAACGTTTGTTAACTGACTGGCACGATGCCTGTAGCTCCCCTATTGTGAACGAGTGCTGACTTTAGGCTTGGTCCAGCCAGGTTTCCGAGGCCACATGTGGCCCTCTAGGTCCTCAAGTGCTGCCCTTTGACTGAATCCAAACTTCACAGTACAAATCACCTTAATAAAAGGATTTGTTCTGTAAAACTTGCGCTCAGTCAAAAGGCTGCACCCGAGGACCTAGAAGGCCACATGTGACCTGAAGGCCGCAGGTTCCCCCCCTTCAAGAAATGGATTTGACACACAAATCAAGTCAGATCTAAATAATTGGAAAAATATCAGTTGCTCATGGGTAGGCTGAGCTAATATAATAAAAATGACCATTCTATCTAAATTAATTTACTTATTCACCATACCAATCAAACTACCAAAAAATATTTTATAGAGCTAGAAAAAACAAAAAAGTCCAGAATATCAAGAGAACTAATGAAAAGAAATGCAAGGGAAGGTGGCCTAGCTGTACCAGATCTTAAATTGTATTATAAAGCAGCAATCATCAAAACTGCTTGGTACTGGCTAAGAAACAGAGTGGTGGATCAGTGGAATAGGTTAGGTATGCAAGACCCAACAGTCAATGACTATACTAATCTACTATTTGATAAATCCAAAGGCTCGAGTTTCTGGGATAAGATCACTATTTAACAAAAACTGCTGGGAAAACTAGAAAAATGTATGTAAGAAACTGGACATAGACCAACATCTTACACCCTATGTTAAGATAAAGTCAAAATAGGGACAGGATTTAGATATAAAGACTGATACTATAAGCAAACTAGAAGAGCAAGGAATAATTTATCTTTCAGATCCATGGAGAAGGGAAGCATTTATGACCAAACAAGAGATAAAGAACATTATGAAATGTGAAATAGATAATTTTGATTACATTAAACAGAAAAGTTTTTGCACAAACAAAACCAATGCATCCAAGATTAGGAGGAAAGCAGAAAACTGGGAAAGAATTTTTACAACCAGTGTCTCCAATAAAGGCCTCATTTCCAAAATATGTAGAGAACTAAGTCAAATTTGTAAGAATATAAGTCATTCCCTAATTAATAAATGGTCAAAAGACATGAACAGGCAGTTTTGAGAGGAAGAAATTAAAGCTATCTGTAGTCATAGGAAGAAATGTTCTAAATCCCTATTGATTAGAGAAGTGCAAATCAAAATGACTCTGAGGTACCACATCACACCTATAAGATTGGCTAACATGACAAAACAAGACAATGATAAATGTTGGAGAAGACATGGAAAAAAGTGGAACACTAAGGGGCAGCTAAGGGGTACAGTGGACAGATCTCTGGCCTTGGAGTCAGGAGGACCTGAGTTCAAATTCGACCTCAGACACTTGACATTTTCTAGCTGTGTGACCCTGGGCAAGCCACTTAACCTCGATTGCCTCACCAATAAAAAGAGCAAAGTGGAACACTAATGCATTGTTGGTGGAGTTGTGAACTGATCCAACCATTTTGGAGAGCAATTTGGAACTATGCCCAAAGGGCTATAAAATTGTGCATACCCTTTGACCCAGCAATACCACTTTTAGGTCTGTATCCCAAAAGAGTTCATAAAAAAAGGAAAAGGACCCACATGTACAAAAATATTTATAGCAGCTCCTTTTGTGGTGGCAAAGAATTAGAAACTGAAGGGATGCCCATCAAATGGGGATGGCTGAACAAGTTGTGGTATATGAATGTAATGGAATACTATTCTACTATAAGAAATGATGAGCAAGCAGACTTCAAAAAAACCTGGAAAGACTTACATGAGCTGATGCAGAGTAAAATGAGCAGAACCAGGAGAACACTGTACACAGTAACAGCCACATTGTGTGATGACTGATTTTGATAGACTTTGGCTCTTCACAGCAATGCAAGAATCTAAGACAACCCCTAAGCCTCATGACGGAAATTGCTATCCACGTCCAGAGAAAGAACTATGGAGTCTGAATGCAGATGGAAGCATACTGTTTGCTCTTTTTTTCCTTTGTTGTTTTGTTTTATTGCTTCATTCTCGCCGGTTCCTCCCATTAGTTCTAACTGTTCTTTACATCATGACTAATGGGAAAATATGCTTAATATGAATATGTAAGTAGTATATAAGCACCGTCTTGGAGGGAGGGAGAGAAGTGAGAGTGGGAGAAAATTTAAAACTCAAAATCTTATGGAAGTGAATGTTGAAAACTAAAAATAAATAAATTTTTAAAAAGGAAAGGGAATTTTGAGAGGGAAAAAAAATAAAATCCCACCCTCAAAAAAAAAAAGAAAAAGAAAAAGAAATTGATCTGAACACCTTCGTGCCCCAGAATCTACTGCTGACTGGGAAGAAATATCTATTCTAATTTGGAACATCCCAAATGCCTTAGTCCTGCATTACTGTCAAGTGCCTAATAATGTCATTTATTTCCATTCTTCCATTTAGTGAACGTGGATGCGTTTATTAGTTGACTACTAAATACTAGGTACAGCCAGCAGGGAGAGGGGTTTCCATAGGTAAGAATGAAACAGTCCCTGTTCTCAAGGAGCTTATATTATATTGCCAGAAGTAACATAAATATTAATACAAAAAAATGTGCAAAGTAATTGTGGGGAATACTGGCAAGTGAGGCAATGGCTGGGGGAAACTAGAGGTTCTTCAAGGCAGAGGGAAGGTGGAAGTGGGGGGACAGGTTCTGTGAAGGCTCAGATACTGGACATGGAATGTTGTGCACAAGGAACAGCAAGCAGGCCCATCTGGCTGGCAGGTGCAAGAATAAGGCTGGCTGGAGCTAGATCGTGAAGGGTTTTGTATGGGAAGGGAATCAGCATTTATGCAGCTCCTACTATGTGCCAGGCACTGTACTAAACAGAATACGCCCATTTTATAGTTGAGGAAACTGAGACAGACAGATGTTAAATGATTTGCACGGAGTCACACATCTAGTATCTGAGGACAAATTTGAATTCAGATCTTGCTGACTCCAGGCCCAGCCCTCTATCCAGTGCACCACATAACAGCTTCTGCTGTAGGCAGGTTGAAAAGTTTGTACTTTAGCCAAAAGGAAATCGGAAGCTTCTTGAGCAGAGCATGACATGGTCAGACCTGTGCTTTTTCAAGTATCAACTTAGCTGCAGTGTGGAGGATGGAATGGGGAGAAGAGAGACTGGAAGCAGGTGGGACAATTATTAGGCTTTTTTAGTAGTCGGGGAAAAAAGTGAAGAGGGTCTGAACAAGGTGAGGTCAACCTGGGAACAAAGACAAAGGGATAGATGTGAGAGAGATTATGGAAGTAGAATAGACATGCTTGTTGAGTGGGTAGATATGGGTTATAAAGAAGAGTGGAGTCTCCTAGACTGTGAACCTGGGTTACTAGAAGTATCACCAAATCACAGAATTCTAGAGTTTGAAGAAACTTCAGCAGCCCTCTAGTTCAATCCATACCTGGAAAGGAACCCCCCACTATAACACACCCAACTAGTGGCCTTTCAGCCTCTACTTGAAGACTTCCAATGGGGGGAAGCCATCCACTCCCCCACCCCACCCCCTACAAGCAAGTCTCTTCTGCTTCTGGATAGCTCTGATTGCCAAATTCTTTTCTGATATCAAACCTAAATCTGATTCTTTGTAGCTTCTACCGTGGTTCCTGGTTCTGCCCTCTGGGGCTAAACAAAATAAGTCAAATGCTTCTTTCATGTGACATTTCTTCAAATACCTATCATGGAATCTTTTCTTCTCTAGGCTAAACATCCCCAGTTACTTCAACCAATACTCATATAATAGAACTTAAGGTCCTCCACCCAATCACATGCCCTTCTTTGGATCCTCTCCAGCATATCTAGGTTCTTTCTAAACTGCAGTTCCCAGAATCGAACACAACTTCCCAGATATGCTCTGACCTATGCAGAATGTAGAGGGACTATCGCTGAAAGCCATGACTCTCTGGATCCCAAGGTATTTTTAGTTCTTTTTGGCTGTTATATAACACTGCTAACACATGTTGAACTTTTGGGACAGTGAAATCACCAGATCTTTTTGAGATAAACTGCTGTCTAGTCATGCCTACTGCCATCTTGTACTCATGAAGATTTTTATTTTGAACCCAAGCATAAGATTTTGTTTATCACTATTGAATATCATCTCATTACATTCAGCCCAAAGCTCTGGTCTGTCAAGATCTTTTTGGATCCTTACTCTGCCATCCAGTGTGTTTGTGATCACTCCTTTGTGTTATTTGCAGATTGTGTTCTCTTTATCCAAGTCATTAATAAAAATGTTAAGAAGCGCAGAGCTAAGCATAGGTCCCTATGGCACAACACCCTAGAGTTTCTTCCTGACTGACATAAAAATATTAACTACTTCTCTTAGAGTTCTACTGTTCAACCAGTTCTTTATCTAATCATTTAGTCCACATCTCTCTTACTTTTCCAAAAGGATAGTATGAGATCCCTTCTCTCTACTCACCTAGTTAACTACTTTAGTTCAGGCCCTAATCTCTTCTCCCCTGCCTCAAGTCTCTACCTGCTATAATCCATCCTACACACTGCTGCCAAAGTAATTTTCCTTAAGCATAGATCTGA